GATTTGGAGTTTATAATACGTATACCGCCGTGAGTCCACCGGTGTGAATCTGCTTTTGCGGACAATTTCCTCTATAGTTTGAATTTTCACCATGACTATCCTACAGGATCTATTAAACTTTAGCCTTTTACCCCGTATAAAATCATTATCCCGTTGTTTCCTACACATTTTGCGCTGAGTAACGGTACCTTCTCACTTGTAGGCATTGATGATGTTTATCGTCGTGCTTTCGCTGACATCGACGACCTCAGCAGTTTTGCAAATGGTTTTGCAACCGACGAATACGTGCCTAGTAAGAATCCTTTTACTTCAATGACGTTCGCTTGCCCCGTTGCTGTCTAGGAGATGCGTCTTCGCATCGTTCGTCACGCATTTCGGTGAGTTTGTGCGGTAATCGGCTAATTAATCTGGGCGAGGTTTGATGGAGTCAAGATGACCTCATAGTCGCGCAACGGCAGTTTCACACACACACACACACACACACACACACACACACACACACACACACACACACACACTGCCTTTGATCGTGAGCGCCATTGCCCACGATCAACAGACGAGCTTGAACCAAAGTCCGCTGCATGTACAACTCGGGTTACGTTAGCCCGAACGCAATGTGGCCTGAACATCGTCCAATTGCCTTACTCATCGAACCTGTTACTAAATTGCTGATCTTCTGCCTAAAATAACCAGCGTCCACTTTGTTTCGCAACACGTACAGTTTAAAGTAAGAGTGACATCAAGCAACGGGCTTTTACCGCCCGTGGAGTGCACTCCGGGATTTCACTCGTATCTAACTAAACGCTATAACCTGGCCACTGTATCGTCTGTGACTTACCTCCATGCACAATGAACGCAGATTGAGTCAAGCTTGCATCTTCCCGTGGCGCTGTCATGAGCAACGTCGTGCCAATTCATTAGACTGACCATGACGCCCCACATCGGTTGAACCAGTTCAGAAGAAATATGGATGTGGTTTAGATGTAGAAAGTATGTGGGAAGTTTGTGAGTAGGGTAAAGTTTGTAAAGAGTAGAAATCACGATTAAAATTCACGCACAATAATATGCCTCGACGGGGAGTCGAACCCCGGTCCACGAATTTCCGGTCCGCTGCTCTACCACCTGAGCTATCGAGAGCTGACGATTAGGTGCGCAAATTTTAACACATGACTTCTGCTTGGTGGTTTAGTTGTGTCGGATCATTTTCAAAGCAAAATCTCCGAATACGCTTGTTTCAAGTGATTACCAACCCCCTACCGTCTACTGAACACTTGTCTGAGATTCACAAGCATATACTGGGATATGACCTTTGAAAAGCGCTTCCACTTGCAAAACGCGTGTCAGGATTGGGTCAGAGAGGGGCTTTTAAACTTCTCCCAGTGTCCCACACTTGAGTCGAGTCAGGTGTGGTTGTGTCGTTGGTGCACCGGGCCAGCGTAGGGTGTCCAGCTGCAAGCTCACAACCGGTAGGGAGAAGCGATCGAAAAGGAAACGCAGAAACGTGCGTTTACGATGGTTATCGGAGGACTGTGCGACACGGAATCAGGTTCCTCCATCTCCTTAAGTTGCATCAACCGTGGAGAAACGTTCGTTGTTTGTGTTCTCCCTACACACGCTCAACAGGTGTCACTAATCACAGTATGCCAGATTGAACTGCCCCGAGATTTGTGTGTACACAATTTGTCTCACTTATCGATAAATCCCATTATTCTCCCGAACAAATGAAAATCCTCGAGGCTAGTGAAATGGCCAGAAAAGAACTGTATGCACTCCCAGAAATCGCACATTAATTGCGCTTTAACCTTGAGTTGCTGGTAGTGTACACTATTTCATGTGGAGGGCGTTTACATTCTCCGTGTTATTTCCACCTCTTTTCTTTAGCTCCGAACTGATAGACGCTAATTACTTAATGAGGATAGGAAGCATAGTTCCGAATTTATCAACTAGGGTAATAAAACTGTCCAGAATTTATCTTAAAATATTTATCTCGAGTATTCAACCAACTTCCCTACCTCACACCCAGTTCGGACCTACATTCCGTTTGGGGCACGCAGCGTGTCCGTATAGGACTGAGTTTCATGGTAGCAAGTAAAATATTAACAGTCATCAGGCGAACTTGGCCTAGCCTCCCTAGCTAGGCCAACGTCATCATGGTAAGCCGATGGACGCGGACTACGGAAGTTGATGAGCTTCACTGCCCGGCATACATAATTTTATCACGGAAACTGCCGAGATACACCAGGTGTTTGATGCGCACCATAAGAAACAGTAAATCTGAAACTTCACGGGAACTGCTTGAAACTATTCTAGTCATGGTGATTTCCATGAATACTACCATAGTTAATTACACTCCTTTAAGGAAATTCCGTAATCGAGAGCCAACACTTTGGTCACCATGAAGTCACACTCGCAAGGACATCATCCTAATCGACCGTCCGTCTCGAGCTCCCACTATCAACGGGCGCTGTGACCACATCAAGCGAAGTTACTGGCTTCCAAAACAGACGCAAATGTGTCATCACCATAACTCACAGCAACACGTTAGCATTTTTAACTGGTTCTTCACTACCATACAACCATGATAAACGAACTCGCGACGAATACTAGGAAACCGAGCGGATGGACATGTTGGGGAAAAGCGCCCACGTTTTATTGACAACACGGTCCAACAGCTATCGGGCGAAACTACTGTGACAACAGCGAGACAATATTTTTGCGGCTTTCTTTGCGCCGCAATCCTGTTTACACTTACTCAATAGCAGAAACTGTCAACAGGCAGCCCGGTTAGGCGACGGTAGTAAACGATACACTGCTGCGGGCATAAGCCTTGTCCTGTAAAGCCTCTAGACAAGTACAAGGTTGATGGCAAAGACTCCAGTCTGGAAGGCGAGATAGACCAACTGCACCCATCTTAAGCATCTGTAGTTTCATTTCCCTAGACCAAACTGAATTTTGTTCCCCTGGGACCTTGCATTATTCTACATACGGAAACGATATAAATTTGTGTGATGGCACACAGTCGTGGTCTACTACCTCGACCAGCCTGCTGATCTAAACGGCCGTAATTTGAGCGTGACGCAAGTTCGGCCACTTTGGCTAACTCCACTGCGATTATAGAGGAATGCTCAGAGCATTGTCTATGAATTGCGGTATTTCCAGTGGATGAGTGTTGCGGTTTGCAATGGACATCTGCGGAGATTGTGTAGGAGCAGCCATGAAATTGTTAACGGAACAACGGGACGAGACTTCCGCTCCAAAAGTTGCTGCCCAGAGTTTTCTTAGCGTAAACGCTAAGCACCATGAATTGTACTGCAGGCACGATTGCAGGCATTCCACGTTACGAACTGCGTGGGCCGCACCTGGTAATCTTGCGAAGCTGAAGTTTGGTTCTTAGGTTTGAAGAACAAGGGAATGTCACATTTGCACTCAATGGTCAAACTACCGTCTATTGGTCACTCTAGCATTTGGTCACACACACACACACACACACACACACACACACACACACGAACAATTAATGTCGCATCACCTCCACACATGTGAGGCTGAGTGACAATGTCCATTAAGAGTTTGTTTACACCTCGTCCCGTTCGTGGGTGTTTTCCCTTCTGTTTTGATTACGGGCTAGTAGGTATATACTCTAAAGTTGACGCCGTAAATTAGTTCTAAATATCATGTTATCGAGTTCCTTTTTCACCCTGAATTCTACTCCTCCAATGGTCTCTGAATTCCTACAAGACTTCGAAGCATGTACTTATTGCCTGAACACTAACGTACGGGATAAACGTCAGCTTCAGTTATGAGACATCTGTGACTCAACCTACTAACTTGTAAAATTGCTCAACATACTACCAGCAGCAATAAACTGGAGGAAACACATAGCATTGGGGTATCTATGCAATCGGTGGCCTATAACAAAGACGGCAGTCCACAAAAACAATGACAGCTGAGCTTGGGATGGTGACGAGAATATTCACAACACATGGAACAGGGCAGCGCCCATGGGGAACTAGAAACTGTGGAACCTGAGACAACCTTTTGTTTGACAACTTTCATCAAACATTTAAGCTGATGCTGTTTAGTGTCCCACTGAAATTTCTACGTTTTGTGTAGATGTTAACGGCTATGCATATAGAGGCTAAGAAATCCGTCATCAGTTGGACTGCAGAGAAACATGTTGAGAATAGCCAATAAGCTAAACTGCACGGCCGGCGCTCTGTAGGTGTTAGCGTTGTCTCAAATAAGTGTGGGTAAGAATTGTTACTTCTATGGAAGCAGTGGCAAGTATTTGACGGGATAAGTATGAAGGTCCGGTAACAAGCGACAAAAGTGTCGCTGGATCGAGTGTGGTAATAAGCTAAGGCATCACGCCTCAGTGTCTTAGTTTAGTATATCCTTTAATGTTTATATTAGCATTTTCTAACCTCAGCAACCCATTGGTTATGTACAATGTAATGTCCTTTGTGCATACTATTTCATCACTCTAGGATATCAGGAGCCTTTTGAATGGAGATGATAGGAATGAATCCATTCGTGTAGCACACAAGGCACACAGTTGCCCATTCACCAAAAGCAACAGTGGAGGTGCGGTTTGAGAAGAAAATATTTGCCAACTTTTATTACCCTCGGATAGGTGACGCAAGGTTCTTTACAATACCAATTCCGCTGTAGTCCGAAGCATCTGCTTGTCAGCCCGAGGTAGGCACAACACTAAAGCATTGGTGCTATTACAGCTGTGTTTATACAGCTTTTATCTTAGATGGTTGCGAGAACTTCGCCCAACCAGCCTTCCACTGCGCAATAAACAGTGGTAGTTGGGAATTCGCCCTCAGCTTTTATGGCTGACAGCGTGGACGTTGGAAGTACAAACGAAGGGACTAAATCCATTGAGCGAACAAAACCGTGGGCATACTAAACGATATGTGTGTTAAATGGTAAATATCCGCTAATCGGTTTGATTATCTACACGGAGTACTAAGTAACCGTTATTTGGCACTCACTTTGTGGGCATTTCTCCGAAAAAACGCCTTGCATGATTCACAAGTGAGCTGTCCGAAATTGTGATTCACCGCACGATCACCACACACTTTACAAAACTTCTCTGAGCTTGTGGGTTGTTTTGAGTGCGTGGATTGCTTAAATTTCCCAGTCAGTCTATCGCGTCGAAGTCCCTCCTGAGCATCCATGCTGTACGAATCGACTTTCGTAATAGACTCATCTTTCCTTTGCTGACCCATGTAGGTCACGGATTCGTTCAGCTCACAGCTTGTGCAAACTTCGTCCATCGGGGTCTCGCGAACATCTGACTCATTGGTCGAGAGTGTACTGGCCAGTTGACTCGCACAGTCGGACGAATGCAGTGTGGCAAAGAGATCATTTGTGTCTGATAGGTGACATTGCAAAGATTCTCCACCATCTGTTCCGCTCATCCATGTGAAAGGGAGTGCATGCGCTACACCTGACCCCATTTCAGCACTTTGCTCCTTGCAGTAATATGGATTCACGGTGTGAATAGGGTTTTCGTTGTAGGTCTGATTAGAATGCACTGGAGCAGCGCAGGGAAATCCTGTCGTATAGGGATCAAGATGGTCAGCGTCTTGGTTCGAATAATGGCGAATGCAATGGTCAGCCAGGCACGTACTGCAACTTGTCGGTTGTGCATTAGGTGGCGGAGTGATGGACAATTCCACTGGGTAGCAACCAGATGACATCAGTTGTCCTAGTTCATCGATGTGGCCGTATAGCTGATGCATAGAAAGAACCGGAAACGATCAGATTATGGGTGATATCGAATGGAGCACTGGATTCACCAGATGCTCTCGTTGTAAGAAAATTCACCAAGGATTTACCATACGAAATTGCTAATACTTTCGATATGAGAAATGCTGTCCTTACCGACTCAAAGTCCCTTTTCACGTAAAGCTGCATTTCAGTCCTTCAAACTACTTAATAGGCGCTGCCAGTAGTCTGGATTTTACCAGCTTTGCTCAACCGAAACTTTTGTACTCACCACCCATCTGCTCTTCGGCGTGATGTAGCTTACTGAAATATCGTGCCATACTGCAGTACCATCTTACTAATGAGTACATGATAATAGTAAAAGCACGCTTGCCGACCCTATCTCAGCAATTGCGCATAAGCGTAGCCGTTGGGGCTAATTGTATTCCAACAGTAACGTCCCACTGAGCAGGCAGGATGCAACCAGGCCAAATATTCAGGCTTAAGTATCGGGGCCACTTTTGGGGAACTTCCTGACCCCTGTTTAAAAGCATACTGGTAATAGAAAGTGCAAAATTTAGAAGCCAACGTTAGTTTCCCTTTAGTAACAGGGACCGAGATAGACGGGCCGCATTCAATTCCGTGATTCCTCCACCGAACCGTAGCACATTCCAACATAACTCGCTCGTGATTAAAGGGGTAATAAGCCGGGAACGTGCCGAATTCCAGATAACAATGAGCTAACCGAAAGTGAATTTAGGGAACACGCTGTGTTGTTGTGTACCAGGGTTGGGAAGAGCAACACCCAAATATATCCAATGACCTAACCGCTAGATAAAGCATGATTAGTCAGCATGCATTCAACTTGTGTGTCAAGTTCACTGAGCACATCGATAACGACTTCCACTCCGCACTAGTTGGACAGAGTATGGTGCACTAATAATGAGTAGCGTGATGAAACGAGCAGGCTCGTTGAACTTAACAAATAATGGATAACCGCGGATGACGGGCGCATAGTGCACAATTCAACTTGCGCCAAAAATGGATGGCGCTGGAGCCTTGAGACTATATCGTATCGTCAAGACAAAATGAGTTGATAGCACAAGGCGCAGCGTGGATTCAAGTGGCATCACGAATGATGTACGCAAATGATTCCGGCTGCGCTATGTTAGAAATGCTACATCATGTATACGCACAAGAATGGTGAACCACTTAGGCCGATTCTATCAAAGCTAAGTACACCGCAGCACGAACTGCCTTGCTCGCTAGAGAAGATACTTCCGTCTCTGCAACAACTGTCCAATCCATATAGTCTTAAAGATTCTTTCCAACTTATCGATGACAGATGACACCAACCTCTCCGATAAGGTCATGTGTTCCTTGGAGTTGGAATCTCTATTCACCAACGTCCCACTACAACAAACTGTTGATTATGTATGTGAGCTAGCTGAGCACTCTAGTTATTCGTTACCAATTCCAGTCGAATTTCTAAAGGAATCCTTACTTCTGTGTACAGCAAATGTTGGCTTCCACCTTCATAACACCCCATATCGTTAAATCGATGGTGTGGCAATGGGTAGCCCACTAGGCGCTGTACTTGCCGATTTCTTCATGCGGATGATAGATAGAGGCATATCCTCAGAAATAGCCCAGTTAACATACTATAAGCGTTATGTGGATGACATATTGGCCTTTTTGTTCATCGGAGCAGCAGATTGTCCAGTTTGTGCAGCAACGCAACTTGCACATCCCAACTTGCGGGTCACCTGCGAAGTGGAACTGAAGTACTGTCTGCCATTCTTGGACATCCTCATCAGTGGCAGGGGTAACGGGCTCATTAAAAGGTCTATCTACAGGAAAAATACCTGGTCCGGCCAATACCTGCACTTCACCAGCTTCACACCAGTACGGTACAAGCGGACTCTTGTGAAAACTTTAGTTAGTCGTGCTAGACGAATTTGCCCAGCTGATTGTCTAGCTGACGAGCTAGAGTTAATTACACAACACTCGTTGCAACTGCTTATCCACGTAGATTTATAGAGAAACACAGCCAACAGCGAGGCCCGAAAGACTTGGTGCATACGGCAGCCAAGAAAAAGATCTATGTCGAATTGCCTTTCAAGGGTAACTTTACTGTATTGAAAACCACGAAACGTTTAATCTCTGCTACTCAGAGAAGTTATCGTGCTGCTCAGGTTGTGGTCATCAATAGAACCTGTAACTTGCTGGTGCCTCCAACTAAGGAAGCTCAATCGATAGGGGGCCAAATCACACTGCATGTACAAATTCGTGTGAGACTGCGGAGACAGTTACATAGGCAGAACCAATCGGTCTTTGACTTCCCGAGTAAAGGAACACGTGCCAAGGTGAGTTCGACGTGAAATTGACCAGCACTCCTGCCCCACTGAAGTTCCGTGCTTGCGCAAGCCACCAGCTTCCTCAATAGGTAAACACCTGGTGACTACGCGTCACCGGATGGAGTTTGGATCAGCGTTCACACTTGTATTACGTCACCCTAATTTCCGCTTCCTCCGTTTCGCGGAGGCCGTTGCAATAAGCCGACCCTGTGTGTTCCAAAGCAATTATTTAGCAGCTTGCGGCTGCCGTGGACATAGGTGTGGAACTTCCGTCGTTCATTTTGCACCTCATGCTTATTCGGTCACACGCATATTTAAGTATATAGTTGCATACCGGTTATTGTTAATGGTACTGAGGAGACAATACGAAATGCATGCATCTACCAGTTTTCGTCTTCTTACCGTGCTTTTCAAATATCATGTATACGTTCGTTCTCTAACACAACTCGCTCGCACCGCCCCTCCTTCATCACAAGAGAATAAACGCTTTCATATAACCTCGGACACCATTAAGTTGAGAGCTTTTCTGCACGGTGAAAAAACTAGCTTTTCATTCCTAGCTGCCATACAATCGATCCAAAATATACATCAGAGGGACAAACCATGATGAAAGACACTACTACACCTTAGATAGAAAGTGGGCTAATTAAATCCACTTGTTTTCGCATAGTGATAGCATGTTTCTGATCTCCCTTCTCCCCAGTGCTTCGGAGCAGGCTAGGCAGAGAACTAGACCTTCTTAATGGTCCAGGAATTTTGAGAACCAGTTTCTTTTTACTCTCAGAAGTGACCATATTATCAGAATTAAAAAGTAGAAGGAATAATAAATAAGGTGCCAGCTGTACGCCGTAACGGCGCTTCATTGCCGCGCGACCACCACCAGTCGCACGCAGGTTGAGTATACCGCGAGGACGCCCAACCCTGCGTGGAGACTATATGGTTGCAAACTAAGCGCGCAGACCACTCGGCCACCGACCGATCAGTTATGCAGGACACTGTAAGATCATTTCACAAGGATGAAAGTGGTTGGTTGGAAATACTCAAATATGGAAGCTGTTTCTGGAAGCACATTTGGTAAGAGACTGTTGTGTCCGTTTACTTTCCACCTGCGCCTCGCAACATTTTACACAATCCGAATAGGGAAACTTGGGTGGTTGGGATAAAATCCAGATGCTTCGGCAAAACTGAACAGGCCACCTGAAATTCGCAAGCATGTGCAACATTTTGTAACAACCGATTCCACACAACCGGTTCTGTTTAAGTTAGTTAAATCATTTATCACGGGCTATCACCAGCTTTTCAAACGGCATTCAGTAGGCTGACAAATTATGCGCTCAAATGCCTATTCCTGGTTGGTAAACAGGATATTGCCAGTGCTGACCGTGCCTGTTACTTGCCAATAAGAAACGGTATACTAGTTTGTGGTTGTTTTTTTCTACAGAAGTTAGCGAATGGCGACTGAAACAAATGACCGTGACAGCGCCAACTGTGACGCGTCCAAAAATGATTCAGTAGACAAATCGACCTTGAAATGCGGTTATTTTAATAAATGCCTAGTTCGTTACACACTGAATGAATATATCCTACGGAAACTGGTTGGTAGAACCCTGTACTAAGGTACCAGTTGCGCATGCTGCACTTCGATCAGGTTTGGTCGTCATACTTTGGCTTCTAAGGGGCAAGCTTTAGTACACAAGTAAAAAAGTGAATGGATCATCTGCGTAGGATAGGACACCATCTTGCAACCAAGCTTTTGGTGTGTATGCAATAGATTAATGTGCGCCGTCGATTCAACTCAGTGTTGCAGTTTGAAAAAGTTGGGTGGTAAAACCCTAAGTAAGAACGAACCTCATTTGTGCACAAACGTCTGGTTACTTTTTTCCTCAACAAAAGAATGTGAAGAATAGCCTACGCAAGCTAAACTGGATGCAACCACTCCACGCCCGAAGTATGACACTGTAAAAGTGGCACTCAAATCATCATCCTCAACAACATTATACACGTCAGGTAGAGGCGTAAAACACTTCGGCTTCTGTGCCGCAATACATAAAAGAAAGAAGAAAAAAGTGCAACAATTGTGTGCCAGCTGCGCTACCAGCAACGGACGGGCATCGTTCCGGAAAGCTACCAGACGGCCAATGGGCAACAAATATCTTATTACGTAAAATTATATAATGCTACGAAATGACATGGTGATTGGAGATGGGAGGGTCAAAGAAACTCACCGCAGGAATGCCATTGAGGTCAGCTCCTAGCCATGTCAGAATGTGTGTTCAACCAAACGTGTTCATCGTCTTCCAGACCCCAAACAGAGAGCCGTGACGCTCCAAACGAGGCTAGCATCGAAGTGGGAACCTTCATTCCTCTCGAGCAGGTCATCGCTTGGCCACCTCTCCTCTTCTTCCATCCACACGTTCGACGAGCAAACAACGCATGTCGCGGAATCCGGTGGGCTGTTTTGCGTAACGCGTGACCAAGCCATCGGAGACTGGTGCGCGAAATAACGGTGCTGAGTGGTTCATTTCCTTTTCCTGTGCCGTAGACAAGGCGTCGAACAAGCACGTTGCTCACGCGACGTTCCCAGCAGGTGTGAGCCAAACTGCAAAGGCACGGGTGGTCGAACGTAACAAGCCACTTTATGTCCGCTGATCTAACGGGTTTCGCAATCA